TGTAAACGGTCGCGCTTGAACAAGACACTGAAAAAAATTGCACACATTCGAAAAGCATTCAAAAAATGTTACAAGACAGCGTTTTTGATGAAACAGGCAACTGGTTTTGAGTGCAGGTGAAACTATGGCCGGGAAGGGCGCCTAGGCTGCAAGTCACTGCCGACAGTGGAGAGAATTCGTCGCCCGATGTGATTATCAGCACGCGGAAGGGAGGCGCTGATTTCAAGTCTACATACCTTTGCCTGGTGGCAAAAGTTGATGAAATAGAATGACCATGATAGAACTTTCTCCTGGTATAAACGCGTTGTGTCAGATACATAATTCCCCACGGAACTCTGTTGAAGGCACTTTCCGCAATAAACTAAGGCTATAACCTCTTAAATGTGTCAGATGATCCGGTAGGCGATTGTAGAGGTTGCACTGCATTCAAAACTTGCAAAATGGCACGCAAAGCACAGTAAACTTCGATTTTAGGCCCAAGGAGGCCCATGCCGGCCTACCTTGCCCGTGTCGTCGTACTAATGCCGTTGTGCTCTCTCGCCCGTCATTTTCTGGTCTCTCTCCGCGCTTTGCAGTGTATCGTCACCTTCTGCATATCACTGTTGATCTTGACCATCCTACTCTCGTCCGATGATCATGATCAAGTGCAAGGAGGAGGGTCATATTGAGGACGGTTTTTCATACTTTTTTCTTCACTACTAAGTCAACTAGCACAATGCACTCCTGTTTTTGAACCCTGCTACCTATGTTGTGCAGTCGCGCAAAGTGCCTTTGAGATCCTGCACTCCCTTACATACATACTTTAGGAACCTGAAAGAACTATGGTTTTCTATTAGGAAAAAACGATTTCAGAAGCGCGAAACATTTTTATCTCGTCCTTTTCTATTTCAACTTTAGAAACTAAGCTCTGAATCCGTTTTTCGACGTGATTAGTTTAATGTCCGAATAGGTGTGCCGAACGATGTTCATAAATTGTAATCAGTTACCAATTACTGGAACCACACGCAACGTTTTAGTTTAACACATCAATCAAGTGTGGTCTCAAAGAATTAGATTCAAACGATTTCTACTCGTTCTACATCAGCTCCACATAGCGCGCCGTGATCGTCATGAACTATTTATTTGTATTTATTTAGTAGAGCAAAAGGGTAAGCCAGATTTCCGCAAGAAAAAAAAAGTCTAAAAACAAGTCACATGCGCGGAAAAGATATGTTCATCACAGTTCACAGCAATATGTTAAACTGGCTCCTTGGTGCAGATAGGCCAAATAAGTTCGTTGATCACTAAAAAAGGAAATCACAAGGTACCAAAGGCTGCGTCAACTAGTGAAAAAATCACGAAA